TTTTTATTCGTAATTTCAGCGCGTTGTTGCCACCTATATATGTAACAATGCCCAAAATGGCTGCGTATGAGTGCCAATTACAATTTTCGGTTTTAAGAAAAGCCAATAATGCCCAATGCTTGTTATGTGGTAATACGACTACTTGGAATCGTTCTTTTAATATAAGGCGACATTATTTGTCATGGTAAAAAAGTCAAACTGCCGAACTGTGTAAACCAATTTAAAGTTTTTTGTAATGGGTTTTATGTATATATGTATGTACGATACGGCAATTTAATATATTTAGTATACTTTATTGAATACTGAGTTTTTTACAAAGTTTAGAAATTGTAAATTCGTGAATTTTGTTGTTGAATAAACTATCATTTTTTAAAACATTAGTTTAATGAAATTAAATTAAAAAACTTTTCATGCACGTACATATGTACTTATAAAAATTAATTTCATAATTCATTATTTGAAATTATTTCTTCATTATTTTTTTATTATATTTTATTATTTTCGTTTCATGTTCATAATACAAATTAAATATAAATTTGTAAGAGCGTTTTCTGACACGCGCAAAAAACGACGCACTTTTGTACAATATAGAAAAGTGGCAACTGTTACTCAGCGCGATTCACGAATACCATGACAAAATGAGACTGTATTGGTGTGCCCATCTATGATGCTTGAAATACAATACCGGCGAACGGCAAACTTCGCCGAATTGGGCGATGCTGTCGTTCACCGTTCGCCCAACTATTTCGCCTACTTAAACAGAATTAGAGCGGTAGCGAAAACAGCTGATCCCATTTGGTTGCCTTTATAATTTGGGTGACCATATTTAGAAAAAACTAAACCATATTTAGAAATGAGGAAATGATAACAAATATAAATGTAAAACAAAGAAAGATTATTATAAATAATTTGTTTCAAGACAGATTTAACGAATCCACAACTATATTTTTCAAACAACAAAAAAAAAATCGTGTTTAGGTTGTTTTCTTTTTAAACTTTGAAAGCACAAAACAAATACGGCCACCTTTGGCACGCACAGCTGTCATCGCCCAGCAGAGCGATAGAAATAAATCTATCGCCATGAAACGCCGCCATGCGAACTTCGCATTTCGCTTTGGCTGTGTTCAATTTCATATGCTTGCGGGTGTTCTAATTTTGACAGCGCGAATTTCGCTGTGGTGAGTTCGCCGTTCGCCGGCATTGTATTTCAGCTATGATGTAGAGCTATGAATTTAAAAAATACATCAGGGTTTAGCTGCGATATTCGCTTTTTACCACTATGTTTTGTACATTTCCCAGTACTGCAAAGCTTTTGACTGCCATTCTACTGGGAGTGGCAATTCGGTGTTGGATTTGTGGTGGGAGAGAGACCGGCGTTCACTCTAGTGGACGAAAATCTAGCCACAATTCGCATCAAAACGAGATTCTTCAACTTCTCATTCATATGTGCATCCAGGGCTCTCTTAGCTTAGAGCGTACATATTAGCTAAGGGTAATCGACTTCGCCGGGCCGGAAACTTGGCAGTATGTATTACTGGATTCTAGCATAAAAAGATCCTTCAAGCTACATGGGATTCTTCAGATCGAAAAACGGAAAACCAAATCGAGCATGTTGCGATAGACGGAAGGCATTCTTCCAGTGTTTGAGAGGGCCTGTCAGCTCAGCTATTTAATTACGATGGCAAGGAGGTAATAGGTGCATGCGCGACGACTTGAATTCAAGTGCGCTCTGCCCAATCCACAAGAAAGGCGACCCCGCCATGCATGCCAACTACCGCGGGATCAACCTTCTAAGCATAGGTTGCAAGGTTTTATCGAATGTGTTGTCTACCATAGACCAGGTATTCACAATACGCCAAATCTTGGATAAGACCCGCAAGAAAAGGATCGGCACTCACCACCTCTATGTCGACTTTAAAGCCGCTTTCGACAGCACTAAAAGGAGTTTCCTATATCCCCTCAAAGCTCATACGGCTGTGAAAAATGACGTTGAGCAATACCACCAGCTCTGCTCTGTTGCCATTCGCCACCAGACGGGGTTTCAGACAGGGCGACCCTCTTTCATGTGACTTCTTTAATCTGATGTTGGAGAAGATAATAAGATCTGCAGAACTGAACCGCTCAGAAACAATTTACTACAAGAGCGTACAATTGCTGGCTTATGCCGATGACATCGACATCATCGGTAAGAAAAACCGCGAAGCCTGTCCTGGCTTTTCCAAGTTGGACAAGGAAGCAAAGCGAATGGGCCTGGTGGTAAACGAGGACAAGACGAGTACCTCCTGTCATCAATCAAACAATCAGCACATTCGCGCCTTGGCACCCACGTCACTTTTGACAGTTATAACTTCGAGAAAGTAGACAATTTCGTTTACTTGGGAACCAGCATTAGCACCGATAATAATGTCAGCATTGAAATCCAACGTAGAAGCACTCTTGCCAACAAGTACTACTTTGGACTGAGTAGGCAATTCAGGAGTAAAGTCCTCTCTCGACGGACGAAAACCACGCTCGAGGAGTGCAATAGGGTATAGTCATTGCGCTGGGTATGCAGTTACAGTTCATGGCTATACTCAATCCCGACTCTTGCATCCTCGTTCGCGCACTCTGGGCAACGTGAGCAACCCATGTGCGAGATGCGGTAACCAATCCGAGTGGAGCCTTGGGTCACGGCAGAAAGAAAGGGCGCTTCGGTGGGGCCACTCTGACTTATTCGGTTTAAGGCTGCAGCGTCTGTTCGCCAGTAGGTGCGGCTGCAAGCTGGTGTCTGCTTGGAGCAAGCGGCTCGCTATATAAACGTGTATTTTGTTGCGAAACCCCCCCGACCCAGCCATGGGTTGTGCGCTGGGCTTGGGATCCGCCACTTCCAGTGAAGAAGCAAGGCAAAGCCTCGGATGAGACCCCCCCCCTTATGATGACGACCACGGCAAACGTTTAAAGGACTACGATTTGAGGGCATGCACCTGGAATGGTCGGACCCTTAATGGTAAGGTGCCTCTGCCCGACTGGTTGATGTCCTCATAAGGACAAAAGCTGACATCACCGCCATCCAAGAAATGCGTTGGACGGGGCAAGGCAAACAATGTCTGGGGCCTTGCGACGTCTACTACAGCTGCCATGTAAAGGAGCGCAAATTCGGAGTTGGATTTGTGGTGGGAGAGAGACACCGTCGCCGAGTACTGTCGTTCACCCCGGTGGACGAGCGTCTAGCCACAATCCGCATCAAAGCGAGATTCTTCAACATCTCGCTCATCTGCGCCCATGCCCCGATGGAAGAGAAGGACGAGGCATCCAAGGATCTCTTCTATGAGCGCTTGGAGCGCACATACGAGCGCTGCCACCGTCATGATATCAAAAATCGTGCTTGGC